AACCGAGGCAGGAGCCCCAGGAACAGCCTCACCAGCTTCTGTGCTCCCAGCCTGTTGATCTCCCTCACCATGGCAACTGTAGTGTCTGGGCTGAGGCTTCTGGGAGTTGTAGTCTCAGCTTTTCTAGTAGTTCCCTGTAAGAGAAAGGAGCCTGACTGGTGGCTTAAGAAAGAGCTGGTGCTTTTTCCATGTAACTCTGCTGCAGAGTATTAACATAGAAAGAAAATTTAAAATCCAGGCCTAAATATTCACAGGCTGGGCTTAGAGCAGGCCCACACTGCATCCTGTGCTGAACATGGTTATTGAACATCTGGTCCTTCATCTAATTTTCACCTCAATGCTCTCTGTTTACCATTTGTAATTCGTTCATCTTGGATTGAGAAATTTGATCAGGGAGTTTCTCTCCTTCCTTCTTTTCAGTTTCAGAATCAGGGTTTCCCTCATCACCTTTTGCCTTAACACACTGCAAAGAAACAATGAAAGGGAAATGCAAATTCACTACTAACTTGATACGTGTACTTTAACATGGATACATGATAACATGGATACATGTACTTTATGAGGGGCAAGTCTGTTAATATTAATTTGGCAAATATTTTTTAATAAAAAATGTTGCGTTATTTTTCTTTGCTGGTTTCTGAGCCTGTAGTGTGCACTTGTTTTACATTTTCAAGGTATTCTTTTTCTTCTTGCCAGTAAAGTCTGAAATTCTTCTTCTGTCTTTTGATTCCAGCAATTTGAGTCTTGAATAATATTATGAAAGTAGTGATAAATTCTGATGAGGTTATGCTATCTTAAATAATTTTATTTGGTCTGTAATCCATAAACTGTTGGGTTTTATAAAATATTCAGAATCTTTGCATTAAGTGGTTTACCACTGTTTGAGGATTCCCTCCGAGACCAAAGGTGTAGTGTATAGGAATAGAGTTGTAGATCTTGATATTGTTTGTGAGACTTTCAGTAGTACTTGCTTTGTTTTATATTTTACAAGCCACCAAAAACCATTCAGAGTAGAAGTATGTATGTAGTCAAACTTTGCATTTATTTGCATTTGTAGTAGAGTTATTTGGAACCAGTCCACACCAATGTTGTATCTTCCTACTCTTGCTACTAGGATCTGTCTTACCAAAACAAACAAAAAGAATCATGAAGGGGAGAGTGCAAAGACTTCTCTTCATTGACTTCTCTCTGCGTTATGTCAGGGTCCTTGGCAAGTGAGCAAGAAGGAAAGATGTTCATGGGTTGGGATCTTGATGAATACTTCCTCCATTGCCACAATTAAAGGATTGATGCAATCACTGGGGAAGTTTGAGGGGGGGATGGGGAAGGATCAGCTCTTGAAAGATGATATAAAGAGCCCAGCTGGATGAAGGGAAACAGAAAAGTGGGCAGTTGTATTCAAGTGAGGTTATAATATCCTGACAATGGTGAGTAAATTGAAAGCTAATTACATTAATATCTCTGTATTATTATTGCTGAAGTGGTGGATTTTTCTTCCTAGGTTGTAGCTTCCAAGAAGACAACTCTGTCTTTCTCTTTCGTCATTAAAGCAATTGGCAGGATTTCCTAAATCCTGGTCTCCCTTCATATAAAGGGTCCTGATTCCCCACTGTTTTACTCCTTTTCTAGTTTTTTACACGTAGGCAAGGTGTATGCAAAGAGCTAGAACAGTAGTATTTCACAGGTGCCTGGCACTGGTATCAGTGCTTTCATAATGTAACCAGCAGTGGGGAATCAGGTTCAAGGAATGCAGCTGTTTTCTACTTCTTCTGGTAGCCTCTATCAAGACTGGTCTAATTCAGATCTGTAAGAGTAATGCATTAATAATTGTAGTGTATCTATACAGTGCTCCATCCATTTATCTATTGTAGTGCCTGATACAGAGCAAAGTGCAGGGCTTTATAAGGTGAGTGGATATTAACACCCCTTACTTCCTAGATGGGGAAGTGACGCACAGAAATAAATGACTTGCCCAAAGTCTACTGTAGGTGCTAGAATAGAACCTACTTTTCCAGTTTTGAAGCCCTGGGCAAAAGATTAGATCAGAGTGTACAAATGCTGCCAAATGAGAACAGGAGCTTTTTACTCTCATGTAAATGACTGCACGAAGCATAGGGCAATGGAGAATCTATCTGATGCCCTTTCCAGGAGCTCATGCTAATGTGGAAAAAGATCCCAAATACAGGATTCAGGTTTACAGCACTCTTGTGTGCCAAGCCATCAAACTCTTCAAGCAAGGAACTACCTCTGGCATCTGGCTTGATTGCTGGGAGCAAGCATAAGCTTTGAAGAGAAGAAAGTAGCCTTGTACTTTATTGCTTTGTGACATAAATTTAAACCATGTTCATAGCTTTTGTTATGCAATCCCTCTTGCCTTAGACCTGTGGAAGGAATTGTAGGAGGAAAAAGATCTCCTTGTAACTTAAACTTACTTATATTTCATTAAAAGATAAAAGTGGACCCTGTGTGGAGGAACAACCCTTCCCTTCCTCTCTTGTGAGTGTTTACTGAAGCCTTTGATGTGTGATTTTGATCAGAGGCTGAGGTCTAAGGGGAAGATGTCAGTCCCTTGTCATCTGGGTTTATTTTTATCTGTTTCCTGATCTTTCAAGCCCTGAGTCAGTGGAATGGCTGGTTGGCTAAGCTCTAAAACGCTTTTCTGCAAAACAAAATTTGTTCCTGCACTTTGTCTTCAGTAGGATGGGTGATGGATGGGAATGAGGTTTTGCTGATCATGCCTGGAGGGTAGGCATTGACTTGGTGGCCTTCAAATGGAATAAATAGCATTAGAAGTAGAAGAAATAACATATGAAATGTACAAAAATACAGCTGGGTGATGGGGAGACCACATGGGGAGTTAATGACATTGTTTGCTAAAGTAAAAGGTTTCTTCCAAAATCTGGGTAAGCATGCAAGACAAAAATAGCTGCATATGTTGAATGAATTAACTCATGAGTGACTGGTGCCTCCTGAATCTGGGGGGGCACCCGCAGAAGCCGCCGATGGTGGTGGCCCTGTCAGGGGGGCACCAGCACAGCCGACAGCGTCAGTGTCAGCCATTGGGGGCGGGGTGGGATGGGGAGCTGTGGATTGGGAGTGAGGGGCCATGCTGTGGAAATGCATTAGTCCAGCTCATGTTGAGGAACTGGGGTCATAAATGGGGTTATGCTGAGGAAACCTTTGGGAAGCACTGCTCTAAGCTCTCCAAAGCTGAAGGGCTGCTGCTTCCTTCTGCACACCCTGGAATGTAAAGCCTTTCCCAAAGCCTTGTTGTACAGCCTGTGCCAGACAAGGAATCTGCTTCCCTGTCTTTACCATGGAG